CCCTGATGAATGCCAGAGAGTCTCCCTGAAACCTTTTGATGCAATTTCTCATCTTGAGTGAGTCACACTCTCAGCCTCATTGTTTGCATCCAGTGACATGTGTTTGTCTTCCCTGTTTGGTTAACGACATTTTGGTCCCATCAAAGGGGGGTTGGCAGGTACAGGTGAACCCACATTGTGTTTTATAGCGAGTCATTGTAAAGTGGGGGCGGCTCAAACCTTCCCCTCTCCTCCTAATGGGTGTTGGTGTGTTGTTTTTGCCGCAGATTTATGGGTGGGTGGGGCGCTGTGATTTACAGAGCTCTGACACTGTCTCAGCGGCGGGAGCGCGGAGGCGGATTGGGACTCTCTGTGTGTGTTCCAGGTGAGCTGGAGTTCTGCCTCAAACTCATGAACACACAAACGTTGTGAGCAACATGCTGGAAGGCAAGTGTGCGACGAGCATGTTAGAATTTCGGTGCACATATACACACAGAAAATGTCGTTTCTGTTGTGTAATACTGCAGGCAAGCTGCTGCTGTTGCCATTCTGTCTGTGCAGGTTCATCCGAGGTGCAGAGGAATATGAGAACAAGCTTTGCCTGTACTCGTCATTTGAACCTGTTTGAATCTGAACTATTGTGTGCCCTCAAATGTAAAACGTAAAGATCTATGTATGCCAGAGCACATGAAAAAGGAAAATTCTATTTTGTTATGCAGGTATCTTTTAGCTTTTACCTCACTGGCCTTGGCACTTTTAACAAATTGTAGATATTTACTCATTATGTCAGTTTCCCATAAAGGCAACATTCATTCTGCAGGATCAATAGTGCAAAAATATAAACATTGCACACACAGATGTTGACTTTGCCCACGCATTATCAGTGTAAGGAGAAGAGATGATTTAATTTTTGTCACCAGATGTTAAATTGCCCATTACCCATCTGAGATTAATTGATCCCTACATCTTCCATTGTCCACCTGAGAAGAGTGAGAAAAAAACACAGTTCAAACAAAAAAGGCAACTGAAGGAAAGGTTGTGTTATATTGGACAGTCAGATTTTGAACAAAGGGATTACAGATGTTTTATCTTGATACAACCTTTTTTTTAAAAAGATAAGTCACCATTTTTGTCACAGAACACTCATTTTTTTATCCCTATATGTCCACCAAGCAGAACATAAATCAAGAAAGATTTAAGAAAGTTTTATAATTGCCTTTATAGTTGTGCTAAAATAAACCTGAGGCTCAACTTTCTCCCACCCCACCTCTTTCTGTCTCTCTCTTTCAGAAACGAAAAAGCTCTCAGTTCAGCTTCTGCATTAAGTCAGCTTGTCAGAACTTTTCCCCTGAGGGCTTTGGACTTGAGGTTCGTCCTGCTGCTGCTCTGCTGGTGGCCCCACGGCGGAGGCAAGGTCACAGCGGAGCTGGGTGTTGAAAGTTTCCGAGAGACTCCACAGAAACCTCACACACTTCTTTTTTTCTTTTTCTTTTTTTTTTTTTACTAAAGATCAGTGACTAGTCCAAGGACAGTTTCTTCATATGTGATACGCTAAAATGTGGTCCAGACTAAAAAAATGATTGGCATGGAAACAAAGCTAGAAAAATGTTTTTGGAATCTATTTTTGTCCGTTTTTTCAGCGAAAAAAGTTGTACGTGGGAATATGATATTAATGTCCCTTTTAAGTAATAACACTTAACCTTTCTGCATTCTTTACATTTTTTGTTGAAGTATTTTACAATTCGTATTATTAGTACTGTTATTATTACTATTGTTGTTGTTGTTGTTGTTGTTAATCAAAACAATTGAAAAAGGTTATCTTTATGAGGCTTTGTTGTTTTATTTAATTATAAGTGTAATCCCTTTCGAATTCCATAAACCTTTGGGGATTTTATAATTCTAACATCGTTCCTTTTTTGCCTAATTTTCACCATTGCCTTAAATCAGTGAGAATCACAGTTTGCCAGCTTCTTTCTAGAAACCACTCAGAAATCATTTATGTATTTTGCATGATATACATAGATAAATTCGTTTTGTCCGATTTCGTTCCAGAAATATATCAAGAAAACCGCACACAAAATTAACTCATTTTAGAAACGAATAAACATGACGAGAGAAATGGATAAATATGGCCCAACAAATATTTATCTCTGGTGTCAAATTAAACATTATCAGTATTTAAATTTCCAACGAAAAAGAAGAAGCGAAATAGCCGTGGTAAATTGGTTGGATGGATGGATGGTTGTGGACAGTCGGGGGTTCTCTGTGGGCGGTGCTGCCCGCCGGGGATCTAATTACCTCCACCTTTCTGCCAATTAGAGAAGTACATCACACCTTTAAATGGACTCATCCTCTCAATCATTAATGTTCGGTGTCATTCCCTCTGACAGCCTCTAGTTGCAGCGGCGCAACATGACACGTGGCTCCGGGTTAATCATGGAAGGGATAACTGGCCCGCTGTTTGGGGGCGGATGGATTTCTCAGCTTTTTAGAATTTGCCGCAGGTTTCTCGCCCCGAATATGTGACCTTTCAAATTCGGTTAATGACGCTATTTCGTTCTTGGGAAGAAAAGAAAGAGCCCAAGTGTTGGTTTGTGTGAGAAAACGAAAAGTGGTTTTTATTTTTAATACGGGGAATCGCTCATTGGGAAATTTCATTGACTTGGTTGTTTGGTGTCTTTTTCTCATACCTGATCTGATTAACACCTGAGGACAAAAGCAGAAAACATACACTGAAAATAAAACATCACTGCTCAGTATATTCTGCATTTTTTGTCATCGTAAAAATCTTTTTAAACATTATTTTGGTGCTCTTTGTTTTATGTGAACGTCATCTGCATGTCATGAACAGTTTTCTATGTCTTGTTTTTTTAATATAGTTTTTCAATGGTGCTCTTTATACGTGGGATGTTTGATTATTAAAACTTTTTTTTATAATATATTTATGTATTTCCCTGAGAGCAGTTGTACCTGCAATTAGAGGGTGAGTTATGGACCATGTCCGTGCTGGAGAGGATCATATAAACGCTCTGTAATGATTTTCTGCAGAGGTGACTTAATGGGCCTCGCATTCTTGTCTGTAAACCCTATTGTTATTCTTCTCTTATCTGCCTTTATCCTAATCTGCACACATTGTTTGCCTATCTTATTTGAAATGGCTCAGTTACAAATCTATAATCTGTCTTTTGTCATTCAAACTTCCGATTAAGACGCCGGCAGCTCACTGACAACTAGAGCACAATATCAGTATGCCTTTTTCCTATCAAATCCTGTATTTGTTTAGGTTTTGCTTGTTTTTTTTTTTTTTTGTGTCAGTGCGATTAAATGTTTCCAATACAAAATCGGTTCTCCTCCATGCACTTTTCTCTTTAAACATTCCCGAAAAACCAGAAAAACTGCATTGCTTAAATCTACGAAATGATGTTGCTGAAACCTAACCATCAGATTATTTTACCCCATGAGTATTTAGGGAAATGCAGTCATTTATAAAAGAGAGGTGGTTTCTCTAAGAAGATTTAATTTCCATAGCCTTTTTTCCCCCCTGCCCACTGTATGCAGGGGGGCAGGTCAGCCTGTGTGACCCATTCGCAATAACGCAATTCAGCCAAGGAAAATAAACCGAAGAGGTGAAGTGACCCTTTAAGAGTCGGTCCCAGTCACCAGGGTCTTTTCTGGTGGGGCTTGCGTGTGTGTTTGAGCGTGTGTGTGTGTGTGTGTGTCTAAGGTGGGGGGCGTTTAGTTTGTTGTGGCTTCAGTCAGTGTATCGCTTGCAGGTGATGCCAGGACTAGATAAGAGGTCGCCGATCCCTGCGCGCTGTCTAGACCGGCTTGTGACTCAACCAGAGGAACTGGACGGAGCACAATTTACAGCAGATTTTTGCCCCCGAGATAGTAAATGACCACTGGCCGATTCCTACTGCTTTGCCAAAGGCGCAACAAGGCGCGATGGAGCGGAGAGATAACACAACAGAGCCTCCGGGCCAGCCCCACGTCGGCTGGACGGGACAAACAACATATTTAGAGGGGGAAAACGCATTTTAGGCCAGCGTCTTTAAAAAAAGATTCCATTCAGCACAACCCCCGAACGTGTTTGCTTTTTAAATGAGAAACGACTGGCTGTCAGGAAGAGTAACGATAGGTTGTCCACATTTAGAAAAGGAAATTGAATTAATCTTTGACTAATTAAAAAAAAACCCAGTCCAAAGATTTATACGAAATCACGAAAATTGGGGAAATGAGTAACTCATCTTCATCTCAGAGCTGAATATTTCAATAATTGTGGCGTTTGTCTCAGAAAATCATGGGAAATATTTTACAGACTGCGCCTGCACAGACACTTCATGTATTCATTTTTTTTATTTTATCAGTTAATAATCCCTTAACGAATCACTTTCCTAACAATAAATAATATAACAATAATTTACTTTTTGTTCGAGAAGCTCAAACAACCTGTATCCTGCCCTTATGATAAAGTATTTTACAACACGAATACTTTGCAGATTATCATGCTCCGACCTTAAGACAAAGAGTCAAGTGGACTCGACAACGCAATAAATGTATAAAAAATTCGCATGTTGAAGAAACAAGACACAGTATGATCACACTGAAACCGCAGTCCGTCTGCGCCAACATGAAAACGTCTCCAGTCGCTGTTGTATATCCATCGGTAGGCCTTCTGTACATTTTCGCTCTCCAGTCAAGTCATGCATCATTTGTTGGCTTAGTTTTTGCTTTGTTTCTTTCTCTTTTTTTTTCTTGTGTGTGTTTGTCCACGAGATCTCACAAAAAATATGAGAAGGGGGGAAAAGTAAATCGGTGCGCTCTCGGTACATCTCCTCAAAGTCCATGACAAAAAAAGAAGAAGAAAAAGCTCTCCTCTGTAATTGGGACGATGTGATGAGCTGGTCACATGCAGGGGGGGGGGGGGGTACGGTGGACTGGGATCATGCTGCAAACTGTCCTTGCAGGAGGTGGTGTTGGGCCTGGGTGGGGAGGACCCGTCAGGTGTGTGTCCGGCCGGTTCACGTCTCCACCGGACTGGGCACCATACTGTTCGGAGTGTCCGGGAGCTGCGAGGACAGCGAGGTTACGTCGCTGCCCGAGGAGTTTCCGAGAGAGCCCGATTCAGAGAAAGACACCTAAAGGGGAGAAAAGTGCAAACATTAGACTCATAGTCTTCTTAATATACATATCTATATATTTATATTTATATAGATATAGATATAGATATAGATATAGATATAGATATAGATATAGATATAGATATAGATATATATGCACACACATGCGCACTGTGGTACATGTAGATCAACTCAACTTTTTTATATGTGTTGGAATCAATTCACAAATAAAATAGATAGATAGATAGATAGATAGATAGATAGATAGATAGATAGATAGATAGATAGATAGATAGATAGATAGATAGATAGATAGATAGATAGATAGATAGATAGATAGATC